GTGATGGTGCACGGGCAGAGCTGGGCACTGGTCATCCCTGAAAGCCATGGGGCAGCGCGAGCGGAGCAGGACGCTGACACTCACACAAGTGAGTCCTTAGGAAGAGAATGCCAATGACCGGCTAATGCAACCAAAAGAAATGAAATCCCATGTGTAACCACTATCACGTTATTGTGGTTGATTAGTCAGAAGCAAGAAGAAAGGAGGGAGCCTCCAGCCACACAGCAAGCAGAATCTGTTCTCCATAGCTGTAATTGGCAAGGCAAGAAATAGCAGCCTTAAACTGTACCAACAGAGATCTAGGTCAGAACAATTCCCAACAGCAAAGGCAATGGAGCACTGGAACAGGCTGCCTGGAGATGCTGCAGGGACCTCATCTCAAAAAGTTTTTCAAAACAGGTTAGGCAAGGGTTTGCCTGGAATGATGCTGCCTTGAGGCAGTAGGCCAGGCCCGGCCAGGCTGCCTCCAGCCCCAGCCTCAGCCTAGATCAATCTATGAGCAAAGCTTCAAAACAGGTGGGGCGTTCATTCATCTGCCAAATTAGTAGACCTGGGATGTCCTCTTCTGTAGTTAGCAAAGACCAAGTTCTCATAGGCCTGCCACAGAGGAACATGGTTAGTATCAGGGATACAGCAATGATTGCCAATGCCTTGATCACATCGATGCTACTGGAAAGGACTCACTCACCACAACCCTGGGCCCTGTGAGTAACACATACGCAAGGGTGAAACACAAGGCACAGGAGGGAAGATGGAAAAGCCTACTATGAACTTTGGAATATATTCGTATGCCATTTATTGGCTATTAGAGATACAAATCTGGGCTCAAAAAAACATTTTCTACAAAAAAATGGAAAAGTTGTCTCATAGACCAAATCTTTCACCCTCTGAAAGCATTCCATGAATTTTTCAGTTTCATTTAAGAATGTAGGAGGTAGCTGTCTACAAGGCTGTCAGCAAACAGGCAGATGTGGTGGTCCATCCTCAATGGATGTTCTTACATGCTTTTTCATGCTTTGTGCATGCTAGGAAGCAAAATAACATTCTTCCATCACTTCAGCTACCTTTATTTTAGACAAAGTTCATGTACATAGAGCCAGTGAAAGCTTCAACATATTCGGACCAATTTAAACATCTCCTCGTCCTTCCTGTCCCTTTCTCCTTCTATTAGCTAGGCAAGCTGCAGAGATGAAGAAAGACAGCCCAAACTTCAGGTCATCTGAACTCTTCTTAGAGATGCAGTCATTCATTGCAAGTTGACAAAAACTCATGAGCTGCCCTCCTCCTGGCACCTCTGAGGGGACGCTTCACAACTGGCCCAGCACAGGCCACTTCATTTGAGAACTACTTTACTGCTAAAAGACAAAGATGTATCTAGAAACATGCACTGTTCCTTTACTTCAATGGGAGAGCATGGCAATACTGGCCTCAGAAAGTCTGATGGAAACATAAATGCTTTTAAGAGTTCTAGTACACCAGAAGCGCTGAGAAAGCAACTCATAAGAGAAATCAGAAGTTAATGCTGGAATAAAAATTAACACTGGAAGTTGGAGCTCAGAAAGTGAAAGGAAGCAAGTGTGAAAACAGCACATGTTCAAATCACCCGTAGGAGTCACGAGAGAAAAAAGTCACTTACTAGAGGAAGCGGCTTATTTTTTTAAATGGAAGGCAACTAGTCCTTGTTCTCTAAATTGAATGGGCAAAATAAACTAACGTCAATCTGTAGGATCTTGAAAGCCTGTTACTTCTCCATAGATAGGTAAGTCTTATTCTTAGCTATTAATTTCTTGCTCTCCAACTTGCAAAATCCAGTCCCAACATCTGATATTGTTACTCCAAAGAGCACAAAACCCAAGACAACTCAAAGAACTGCCTCATGAAGAAAAAAATAGATAATCAAATCCACAGAATGTGGTTAAACAAAGATGAAATTAAAGACAAGAAAGTTAGTAGTAAATATACAAACATAGCTGCCAAGAAGGGAAAGACATGAAAGAGGCTGACAGAAAACGAATATCAACATTTAAATATTAAGAAATCATGCTATGATCAAATTGCTACGAATTAGATATACAGTAGATGATAAATGTTCACTTACTGGAATACAAATACAGAGTGACTAAGACGTTAAAAATATAGTTAGGAAAAAAAATCTTACAATAACCAAGGACCACAAAGTACATGTATTTGCAGGATTAAAAAAAGAAACACCAAACCAACACCACAACACACAAAAACCCTCAAACCCAAAATAAGGAAAAAAAACCACCAATCAAAAAAACCCAAATATCTTGCTTCGTTTTCATTTACAGCATGGTTCTCTTGCACAAATCACCTACCGCTACTTAAAAATTTCTCTGAAAGTCCATAATCACCTTGGTTTGAGTTTGGTAGCATCTGCCAGCAGAGGCATCAAACTTCAGCTGAATATCTCTTTTAGCAGATCTTTGCTTAGCAATACTGAAGCATTACAAAATTATTTTAGAGGTTAACTTTTAATAGTAATAAAAAAAAGCTCTAAATAAATTCTTTTAGCAGAATTCAGATTGCTGCATAATGAAAGAATGTTCATAAACTTCTTAGGCTTCAGTATTTTGCATTGAGTGACATTAACCAAGGAGGAAGAGAAACCCTGCAGGCTCTGAGGGCAGGGAACACGCTTGGACAAAAAGGAAAAGCCCCCAAAGGACTTTAAATGTCCTCACACTTCCCAAAGGTGCCCTGTCCCTGTCAGGTTCAATGACAAATACGTTCCTTTAAAGCCAGGAAAACCATACGTTAAGCCTGAAAGGCGTACATGTCTACAATGGAGGGAGGGAGGAGATCAACCTCCTGCCTCTCCGGTTCCCAGATGTTTAACAAGCAGTTGTTTTGTGCTCTGAAACATCAACCAGCCATCGGATCATTTGTTACTTGCTCGAACAGATGAACATATTTTCATCCACCACTAAGTGGAGCTGTTACTCTTGGAAAAGAGTTTCTCCATCTCTTCAAGTGTATTTGCAGACCAGATTATTTTAGCAGTATCTACAGCTTGTTTCATCTTAAAAAAACCAAAAAAAAACCAAAAAAAACCCCAAAAACAGAGATCGAAAGCAACCAGTTTTATAGTTGCTTTAGCTTTTAATAATTTTTGCAGTAAATATATTAAATTTATTCTTCTGAGGATATTTATATAACCTCTGAACCAAGGTTAAACACCTACCCACTAATAACTATTTGGCAGCTCTTGCTGGATGAACTAACAGTGTAACTGAGGTCATAAAGAGTAAGTTTGCACATAACAAAAGATTATTCCATCACTGATACATACTGGAACCATCTCCATTTGTGGCAGAGGCTGTGTTTTGGGGCACTGCAACCAAAGCAACCTCCCACCCTGCAAGCAATGCCGCAGCTCGGAGAAGAAGAGGCGAAGAGCGAGAACAACACGCAGCGCATGTATTATTGCCACCTTCATATATTATACCACAACATGTGAAAAAAAACAATGTGTTATAAAGCAGCACAGGAAGTCTACATGCCTACTATAAACTTCTGGAAAAAAGAAAATATCTTTTGCAATGTCATAAGAAATCCAACTATACCCAGAGGGGTTGGCCAAGAAATACACTGACATTGTTTTACGCAGAGGTACTTGTACAGCTACAATTGGTGATGGAGACTTCCCTGATGAAAATAAACTAAGTGAGAAAGAAAAGGAAACACCAGGAAACAGTAACTAAACTGTGTTTTGTGTTCACAAGTCTCATAAATGAAAATAGAAACTTGACATTTAAAAACAAAAGTATAAATTAAGCACTTTGCTTTCAGCCGTTTTAAACGTCTGGTCACCAGCGATGAGAACAAACCTTAGCTTTGGACATCCAAATCACTTCTGATATCAACAAGAAAGAAAAAGCAGCATTTTTAGGCAAAAAAAGATAACATGCAAATTTCATTGCTTCCCCATACTTCAGTGCTGTGTGGTACTATCTATGACCCTGTAGAAGAGCAGTGAGTTGTTTTTGTTTAAAAACAACATAAATAAAAATTAAACGATGTTACTGAGAAACAGTCCACAATGAAACTATATTAATGAGGGATAAACACGCTGTCTTGACACCACAGTCCTTTTAAGTATATTTCAGAAAGAAGTTTCCTCTTCAAGGAAGCTCCAGGTAAAGCAGCTCCCCCATTTTTCTGGCAGTCCCAGAGAGGAAGCTGCAGCCCAACACAGAGAAGGGAAAGGAAAAAGGTACTTCATGAAGCACTTGCTCTATGCCATGTTAAGCCCTGCTGTTTGGCAAAGCGTGTTGTTTACACAACCCTCAGGAGCTCAGCTCTCCGGGAAGCTCTGGGAGCTCCTGACGCAGAGGAGTCAGAGATTCATAGGAGCCACCTTTTGTGTTTTCACTGGGTGAACAAGACGGCTCCCTCCTCGGAGAGAGCAAGACTGGGATCTCAGGGAGCAGGGAACACCTCACGACTCTTGCTCTTCGCTTAGGCGACCACGGCTGGTCCCACCTTTCCACCCTGCCTCGATTTCCTCACCTATAAAGCGCTGGTGATGAAACTGTGTGCTTCGCTAAAGAGCGGCATTCAAAACCGGGACGGGCGCGCTGCCATTTGGGATGTACGGATGTCATAACGCAGCTCTGACTTGTTCACTCCCCTACTCATAGAAAAATAATGTGTCATAGCCCATAAAACAATGAGTCAGAATCCAGCTCTAACTTGTTTACTCCATTGCTCATAGCAAAATAACGCAAAGAGGACTGATGCTTGCAGGGAAGGAATTTAAGCCGTGTAGTATAGTGCTCCTCTCTCTATTGCCACATAACAATAGGTATGTTAATAAACCTTTATTAGTGCAGAGCAAGAGGTTACTGTGGTTCGGTAGCTCAAATTTTACTCAATCTTTTTTCAGCATTTGGACATCCTTTAAATGATTAAGTCTTACACATATTAAAAAAAAAAACAAAAATCACAAACCAAAACATAACAACATTCCAGCTTACATTCTCTATGACAAACGTCCATTCTTTGTCTTCAAACTCTTCAGCGTGGGGATCCTAGAAAAACAAACCAGAGAACTTAAGTCTAAAAATAATCCAGGGTTCAAGAAATCGGTACTCAGCCAAGATTTTCATATAGTCATAGAAATATTTTTATCCACTGAAGATGACAGAGGGAAATACTTTAGCTCGGATGTAGGCTTCAATGGATGCCAATAAGGATTTAATAAAGACTCCTACAGATACAAACATAAGGTTGATTCTGATGAAGGCCTATAATTTTACCTCCTTTCATCCAGAGCAAAAAAAAAAAGGGATAAATCTCTCTTTAATTCTTAAGTTCCACCTCCCAAATAAACACATCAAATCTACACCTTGCAGGCGTCACCCCAGCCTACTCAGGCCCGGAGATCCAAAGACAGCTTTCGCACAGCACCTCGTGCCATTGCACATTTCTTCAATACCTATGCTTCCTTCACAACATTTCTGTTGCATCGCACGCGAGGATCAGAAAACATTTTCACCAACAGGAAGATAAATAACAATGGTGTTATTTATATGTATATTTGGTGTTTGTTTCCAATTTATTGAGCTTTCAGTCTGGTGGTGTGGTCTGTGGTGGTGTTTGAAATTAAGATAATGGTGTAGACATTGTCATCCCCTTCATGACTCTACAAAGGATACTACTTTACAAAAAATTTCTTTTTTGAAAAAATATCATTAATTTATCATCCAATCGAGTTCTGAACTGCAACAAAACAACTTCTCTTGCAAAAGAGCTTCTCACACTAAAAGAACGTGGCTTTAGGCTTTTTTCAGACTAGAAGCCTAATTTTGCTATACCTCAATTTTATCCTATTATTTATAGTTCCAGGAAACCACTCGATTACGCCTTTGCCCCTGACGCTTGCACGCTTTAGACACTTACAGAGAAATGTCACCTCCCCATAATCAGCATTTGCCATCATCATCTAAGAGATCCCTCAGCACCTGCAGAGTTTTCTTGCTATTATTTGGAGCCTGCTCGTGATACCACACCAAGCACTGCCCCAATTCCATCTTGCTGCTGTAAATTAACAAAATGGATCGAGATATTTTGCTTCTACTTTATCTCCATTAGTACCATCTTTTCTTTCTTTCCAGAACGCTACAAGCCTCACATTCAATCTTTTCAACTCACCTTACCTTAGTCTTTGCTTTAACCATCCTTATTTCACTTAGTTTTGCCTTGAAGTCAGACACACAGTGAGCAGAGGTACTGTATCGCAGCACTACAAACAATTCTTTTAACTAGTTCTCATCATATACACAAAACAAAAGATGTTGTAAGTAACAAGTTCACAGCGTAAAGAACCAGCAAAAAGAATTATTTTTTTTCTTTCTTCAGTACACAAACAATTTGGAAAGCGTGCTTTTAAATAAACCTCTTTGAATGAACTACAATAACATTTCTAAGAGGGTACCACCCTATTTCCTCCAGTGCAGTCCTCCCACAAAATGCAGCAAAGTGAATTCACTGCTCTGCAGATGCCCTGTAAAACACTGGCTCTCCTTGCAGGAGTCCCGCTGGGCATCGACATGCCCACAGAGAAAATTCAGCAACACATCACAGCACTGGCACCATACCGTGGCTGTATATTTAACAGCTATAGCCACAAATGTCACATGCAACACATATTTTAAAATGCATTACTCCAATAATGGGATGTAGTTTCAATGAAAAAAATGTAAGATGCTACTAGAAACTTTTGTCAAAACTGGTGGTTTATTTCAATATATGAATAAATAGTTTTAAATAATTCTGATTTAAAAAAAAAAAATTTAAATACTGCAAACGAGTAAAAAAACCACACTGTACCATTAGCCATAGGGATAGAAGGACAAGTAGATACACACAAAATTATATTGAGGTATCTCTGTGTTCCAATTAACATACTTGTAAATATCAGATTGTGTATTAGATATCCATCATATTAATCGGGTCTGTGGAATTCTGCATTATGCAAATAAAGTGCACGATACCTCCTGGTTTGCTGTATGCTACATAAATTCTAAAGACAGAATTTTCTGTAATCCAGCTGTTAAATACTTATCACTTTCAAAAGTTAACCTGGGGCAATTACCTTTTTGTTTAATTGCTTCCTTTGATACAGCATTAAATGACATAATGAGATTTAATAGGATCATTAATCACTTTATGTTTTAATAAGCTACTCCACAATATGTGACTAAACTCTTAAATATTTCATCCTGCTCAATTTTTTTCATAACTCCTCCAAAAGCTATTAATTCAAGCCTGCAGGTTTACCTAAAACTGCTTGCAAAGTCAGGCCCCAGTATTTGATTCCGTGTAACAAACAAAACAATTGTTGTTTTGTTCACACAAGGCAACACTCCACAAAGAAAAACAAAGCTCTTCTATCAATGGCAACAAAATTGATTCACACCTCTGAAGGCTACAGAATCAGGGGCTGGGCTGAGTGTTTCTGATGATCCGATACAGCAAAATCGTATCTTATGGTGGAAAGACTTCTTAACGCTCACTTTCAAGTGCATACTAAAACACTGAGTTGCGAACATTTCTGAAAAATAAACATGAGTGTATTACCCGCAAACTTCCTGCCAACTGCCCAAAATAAAAAAATAAAAATTAAAAGCTTCGAGGACTTCTCTAATGAAGAGCCTTACCAAAAGTTCAGAAAGTATGAAATACACTGAGATATGGACACTTTGCATATGTGTAAGATATTTCAGATTTAAAGACAAATCCAGATTTTTTTTTTCAAAAAAAGCCACATTTCTTGTTAGTCTTAAAATATCTGTAGAAACAGAAAACACTGAACAAATTTATACACATAAGCCTTAGCATTTCCTTGCAACAGATACGTAAGTGGCTTCACTCATTCCCACTAAAATGCTTTTATTAGAAGCCCAGGGAGCAGAATACACAGTTGTATTTCCAGCTGACTTTTAACTTTATTAACAGATACTTGTACGATTACAGTCACAACAGTTTCTATTGTAATCACCATTTCACCCTTTGGGCTAACACTTCCATGTGTGGTCTCCGGAAAAAGTGATGTTTCTATAAATCCAGCTAATCTTTCATCTTATTTTGGATTTGAAGAGGGCAAATACCAGTAAAAAAAAAAACCAACAACACGTACTTCCCTCACTGGTTAACCCATGTTCTCCATTCATTTCCCACATAAAACTCATGTGATGAATTTAGGAAACTATTAGTTGAGGACTAGACAGCCGACTGTTGTTTAGGAAGAAAAAATGCCATTGCAAAAGAGAATAAGCCTAGGAGTAAGGGTTACAGCAGCCTTTGAAATTTTCACTGTGTGAAAGCCCTCCCTGCTAACACTGCACACAAAGCTCACCTGCAAGCAGTAAGTAAGCACTGAAAATGCACAGCTGGAAACACTCAAAAATAAGACTTATAAACAGACCTCATTCCCATCCTCCTTCCTGAAAGGAAATGAGAATGAAAATTACCTAAAAAGCCCAAGGAACAAGCAGTTTCCAGTATTTTTCTCAGCCTAAAACTGCCTCATACCTCACTGTAACATAGAGGAAGTTGGCAAGAGCCTTTTTTTTTTTTAAATAATGCTCATTGTCTTTACTGACATACCACAGATGCAGAACTACACTCATTCTACCAACACTCATTCCGGTTTTACCTTCCATTGAAAACTGTGAGTATTTGGGCAAATGGATTGAATGGTTTGTTGTTCCTTCTCATTTTATTACATAAATAAAGAAACATCATTCTTAATATCAAGAAATGAGTCCCATTTTCTTGCTTCTCTTTCTGTATGCATTTGCCTCTCAGTATGACGCTCCTCTTCAGCATCTTCTACTAAATTTCAGAGCCTTCCTCTACCCTTTTTCTTTTTTTTTTTTCCCCTCTGGTAAGATGACTTTAGCATTCAAAAGTAACGCTCAGGTGAGAAGCCAATAGAAAGGAACCATGCAAAGGACAGGACATCATCTCATGGTTCTCCTACAGTGAGACTCAGATAATAATTTCTACTTCTCTGAACATCAGCAGAGTGCTTTGGCCCACCAGCAAAAACCTAGCCCATTTCACATTTTCCCAGTAATTGTGTTAATTACTTTTCTAGAGATTTGCTGGCCCTCCACAAGCTCAGTCCTACTAACTTTTCTCTGCAATCGCACCCATCAGCTTCTTTCTGTGACCCCATTCTGCACATCCACGTGCCAACTACCCCAAACCAGACAACTCTTCTGGGCTCAGGCAAGGGAAGAGCAACAACGAATGTGTGTGTCACATTATTGCGTTCTCTGTTGATCAGTTCTTCCACAAAGAGCTTTGTCAAGGACTAGATCCTTTCTGCAGTGTCTAAGGTAGTTTCAGACGACTGAAGAAAGGTAGCCCTTCTCCAACAGTTCAGGCTATCTTCAGAGGTATCTCTGTATCTCTTCTAATATGACTGAAAGACCTATCAGCAAACAGGAGACTGCTCCTTCTCCTAATCAGCAGTGAGAGCAGATAGGGAAGATCTTCAGACTGTTAATCCCTTCCTCTCTTCCTTCTCTGTGCCTCCTCCCTAAGCTTTCCCGGCTTTTGAAGCCTGACTGTCAATTAGATCACTTCATACCAGCCTTAATCTTCAGTTTTTCTTCTTGGGGAATAACTACTTAAGGACTGTCATATCGAATCAGATCAAATGATGACAGGGTTTGTGATCTTCCTCTACCAGTGACCTATAGCAGATGCTCCGGGTACTCCAGCATCTGTCCTCAGCTTTTCTGCTTCGCTGTTTGAAGTTGCAGAAGACTCAAAATTTGACCCAATTCTTGTCACTTTCAATGCTGCTTACAGAGGTCTGATTAGTCTAGAAAAATCACATACAACTCCGGTCAGCTTTTATTGAGCTTCCAGAAAGCAGGGAGCTCTGAGCAGCCTGGCAGAACCATCCTCGTACGTCACCACAGCTCACGCTTTCTTGTAAAGCCTCTGCACTAGAAAGGCAACAAGGACTGACTTTTGGTTTTTAATATATATTTTTTTACAATTACAAAATTACAAATTTTACAACCCTGGATATTTAATTTTTTAGTGGGCAAATGTGCTCACTTCTCTGAGCTTATGATTTTTATATCTGACACACAACATTTTGTCTTGTCCACAGGGCTGTTTTTCCCTCCAATGGAATATTCTCCTTCCGGTCAAGCACCTGGTCTCTCCTGAACTGAAACAAGTATGTTCTGAACCTGGATTTGTTCTTTGCTTCTGGGAAATGACTTTATCGAAGGGTTTTGGTGGATTTTTTTTCCTTCCTGAGACAATGTATTGGCTCTGCTGCAGATTGTGCAAGGGCATTTACTGCACTATAAATCAAAGCACATGATTGACTTGAGCTTTCAAGAAAGATGATATGGGATTTATATGCTGAGAGATATGTGGGGATGGGAATACTTTCAACAATACAGGTCTCCTTTTATCATCTACTTTATTCTTGTTTTACTCACATAATTTTTTGTGTGCTTAGAAAGGTATGTCTTTAAAATGTCTTTGTCAAACTTGGGAATGAATGATCTTCCCTGTCGTTACAATAGCATATTGATGTGATAAACTGTGTACGTTACTGACAAAACAACCTTTTTTTTGTAATCAAAATCCATGCTTACTTCAGAAGAACAAGTATTTTTGCTTGGGAAGTTCACTTTGCTTTTAAGCTAGAAAATAACGATGCCGCAATTTAAATCCTTGTAGTACAACTGACCTTCACTTAGCTTTGCTAAATGCACTGGGCTTTCTTAGCAGTGAAAACATCTCATTTAAAATCTCTCAGTTGATACAAGTATGTATTTGTACATAAAACCACAGAAAAGTATACAAGCTTTCACATGTGATGGTTAAACATTGCTAATGCAGGCACTCTAAAAATGAACTTCTGGAGTGCAACCATGGAAACAACAAAAAATGGGAATTCAGCTAGCTTTTCTGGCATTTGTGGATCTTTCCATGAAAGTACTACAAATGACAGACTTAAAATGCACAATAGGGCTTATTGTTTCACAATGTTTTTTTCTCCCCATTTTGGTTGAAAAATCCAAAGCACAACCAAACATCAGTGTGGAGCATGGCAAAGGAAGAAGTTAAACTTCCCAGAACAGATGGAACTTTTTATTTAATTAGCACTTCAGCTGGTTCAATGGGCAGGGGATAGAGCGAGTTAAGGGAAGCTGAATCAATACATCCATTTGATGCTTCTCCCCACATGACTCCAGAGCATGATGAAATTTTTCCAGCAGTCCAGAACTAAGTGAAATGAAACAAAAAGGTTTTATTTATTTGAAATGAGTTTTCTAAACACAGGTTATAGTCTCTTCGAATTACAAACATATTTTTGGAAACAAGCTAAGACTCAGAATAGGGATGTGCAGATAATGCAAAATATCTCATCTGTTGACAGGTCACAGGCTCCTTGCTAGCCAGCTTTCAAGTGTCCACGGGTGAGTACTGGAGAGGATACTCTTAACATTCTCATCAGCACTTGAAACCTCGGCTTATCTCCTGATCCTACCAGCAACACATTTCAACAGCCACTTACGAATGCAGAGCCACTACTGTGTGAATCATTTCCCAAAACACGTAGCTGTCTATTCTGGAGTCTACCTCCCCTTGTATTTCCAACAGCACCATGGCACTAATTTGTTATCTGTGATTGCTACAAAGCTCTGCCAGAACAACCTGCTCCCATCAGTGGGCTCCACCAGGGTGGACGTGGAGCCAGCAGCCTCCCTCAGCTTCTCAGGTTGTAGTGAAAGAGGGCAACTACTGTTTGTTAAACAGCACAGCCACGCTAAGTTTACTTACTGCCAAGTGCCAAACGTTCAGCAGTCACTCTCCTTTGCAGAGGAGTGGCTCCTAAGGGGACTTCTACAGACTGTAAGATAAGCCATCTCATTTTCTCATTTTCTGAGCTTTACTACTTTCATTGTTTTTGCATCCCTCCTTTCAGAGGAAGGAACAACATAAATACTTGACTTGTAAGTCAGCTCCCAAAAAGGCTGCGGCAGTGTGCTACCGCATACTTCCCACTACTCTAGCACTGACCAGCCAATGCATCAGCTGTGCAAAAACCAGCTAGTTCTATTTGCCCAGAAGGTACCAGCTGGAGAAACACCAGCTCTCCAGGTTTTAGGACATATCCCACGCTACGGCTGAAGCACCGCTGCAGCACTGAGACAGCGTCAGAGAACTGGGCACCACCTAAACGGTGCCAACACCGTATTCTGCCGGCAATCACCTGTCACTCACAGCTCACTGGTGCAGGCAGGCTGCTGGTCTCACACAGATGCGGCACTCCCGGTGCATTACCCAGCTTGCTCCAAAGTTGCTGCTCTGTACCACACCTGCACATCCTTAGAGAGAAAGGTGGGTTTGGCCCCTCACAGGCACTGTTGTTGGAGGAGCCAGAGGATCCCTTAGAGCAGATCTACATAAAAGCTGCCTGACAATATAACGCTTTTTGCATGATCTCAGTATTTTGATTCTAAAAGCCTGTGCTCATTCCCCCAGAGATCAGTGAATACCGTTCCCAGCAGGCACAGCCTCTGGCGTTACGCAGACTCCTTCCTCTCCTCCCAGAACAGCCCTTGCGACAAGCACGCTCAGTTTTGGGGAGAGGAAAAGGCAGCCCAGTGAACAGATCTACCTGCGGAGTCACAGTGCTGGGTAAAATTAAGGCTCTAGTAATACCTAACACTGGCTCCAGAGGCCCTTCTCTCCCCTCACTATCTGTTCTCAGCCCCCACACTCACTTTCAGCGGCACAACTACAAGTTTGTTGTGCTGTGCTACACAACATAGCCTGAAGCGGTGCAGGTAGGAAGAAAAAGGTAGTGTGGGATGTCAGAAGGCTGGGAGACATTTTACTCCAAAGCCACAGCATAACGGAGCTGCACCCAAAAGAAATTTCATTTCTCATTCTTCACGTAACATATAATTGTGTACATTTCTGCTTCACTTTAATTGTTAAAAATATTAAGTAACATTTACTGCATTAATAACCATATTCAGATTATACAGACACACAGCATAGTCACATAATGGTCTTAAACTTAATCCAAGTAGAGGCCCTTGAAGCATGCAGAGGCAAACAATTTTGCTAGCAAACTTTTGAATCTCAGTTGAAGACTATGCGTCTGCTAAGAAGAGAGACAAATTCATGATAGTTAGCATCACTGGCAACCTGGGAAGTTTCTGTTCATTGCTAATCCCAAGGACACAAAAAAAAAAAAAGAAGAGAAACCCCCTTTTTAGGCTTAATGAACCAAGTAATAAATTCACATTCTAAGGCTAACCAGAAGCCACTTCTAAGCAGCTATTCAGGGAAGTCTCCAAGACAAAGAAATATAGATATTACTAATAAGAAAAAATTACTGTTGCCTTAAGCTGTAAAGGGAGCGATTATAAATAAGAACGACCAGAGTGTAGTTGGAAACACCAGAGTAAAGAACAAGAGAGAACTAAAGGAACAAAAGGAACGAAATTCCCAGAAATCTTCAGCCTCCCAGGCAGCCTCCTACACTGTCACATGTGTAAAGCTGCGTTGTTTATGTAGAAAGGGATTTGCCCAACGATATTTGGGAAACAAATTCTAGGATAACCATCAATTTCTTCTCGTGCTTCGCAGCTGCACAAATAAGCTTCTTTTTTAATAGAACAAGTGCAGTTCCTAAAAAAATCCCCTGTAAAATCTTGTAATTCTCTGTACTACTCAAATACTCCACATCCACTCCTATGACTGCCATCACTAAGTGCCGTGATGTTCGTGTGGCATACTAAGTACTGTGAAATTAAGAGCTGGATTCTGTTTCCTAGTCAATAGCACATGAAATACGGTCACTGCACTGCAACTGAACAGGAAGTCTAGAAACGGCTGTTTTGACAACTTCTGGCTTCCAATTTTTAAAGAAAACCAACTGGACTACAACCCATGCCAAGCGCTTACACATGTACTACGTGCGCATTTACGCATGTACTAAATTCTGTGCCAACGCCTCGCCATAATCAGCTCAGTGGGATATTTCAGTGTGTTAACTAAACTACAAAAGTAAGCTTTGGCAGGGCACAGACCATCCTTCTCTCCAGGATTTAACCTGGGGACATAAGGTTGTGCAGTTAATGACTTAAACCCAGTAAGACTAGGCCTTTGTGAATATAATCTGACATTTCCAAATGCAATTTTTTCATATGCTGTTTACAAAATAGTAAAGATGATGCTTTAAAAAACCCCATACCTTAAAGAGCGTCACGGTAATTTCAACGTTTTCAGGAACAGGCCATACCACCACCCCACGGTATGGGTTCTTGATTCCGGGCTGCCAGCTATGAGCCTAAAGGAAGAAAAAAACAGTTGAGTTGTCTTCAAGCCATTATCAAGGTGCGGACTCAACTCCCGCAGGACCCAGCGCATGGAGGTAGAAGTAACTTGTCACTGACTCCAGCAAGGCCAAGTTCTTAAACCTCTGACTCTGCTGAATACTATAAAGGGCATCGTTAAGAATGACAGTAAGAAAACTCAGACCACTAACAGGTTTGGTTTTGTGGTTTGTTTTTTTTTTTTTTTTTCCACTGAACTGAAGCTGTTCCTCACAAGGTCCTAATCTCTGTTTTTTTAAGTACACAGCACAGGTCAGGACACTCAGAACCTTGCAAAAAATTAAGGCTGTAAGGCCACAGCTTCTGTAGCAAGATGAGCTTTATTTTGGTTTTATCCAGACAAAGGAATACATTTATTTAAAGAACACATGAGGACAGCACATAGTGCAGGCTTAACCACATTTAGACCTAAATAAAGCAAAAAGACAGTTTTATTTAAGAAAAAAACACCAAGACCAAAACTAATGATTTACAATCCATCTTAAATGCTTCTAAAACATTTAAATTCTTAAGAATTAATATGCTGGGGTACCTACACCTAGAAAAGATAATGAAAAACGCAACAGTAAAATAGACTGAGAACTTGTCTACCTTTGAGTATCAATTTGGATTGATGTATGGTCTGTATTTACATTTTAATAGCTAGTCCTGAGAAACATTACGTGTCAGTATTTCTGTTTCAGCATAAGTATGCTTTTTTCCAAGCTCAACTTAATCCATTTTGTGACGCTATAACACAAACGGGGGAGAGATGCTGATGCATGAGTGACTGCTGAGGAGCAGGAGTGTTATTAAAAACGTGGAAGTTTTATCAGGAAATAATGTACAATCTATTTACTGTTATCTGAAACCAACTAACTGGGCTATTTATTTTCTTTTTTTTAATTCTACAACATCACTCACTGCAGTTTTATGTTCCTTCCAATGCTCAGAACTTCAGACGAAGACTGCCTATTAGAAGAAATTTTGCTATAATAAGGTTAGTAGGATTCATGCCTCAGGTTCTTGGGTACCCTAAGGTACCCTGGGCAACTTTACACATGTCTTGGCTATACCCAAGTGGAAAAGACAAAGATGGTGAAACATTCTCATTCAATCAGAGAGGCAATAACTCCCTGCTGCTGTGTAGTGCAAGCAGCATGTACTCCAGATGCCAGGTTCATATCCAACAGACCCATCACATGTGCCTGCTGCTTGGTGAGCCCTCTCGTGTTCAGCTGGGCTTTCACCGGCTCCCGCAGTACCACAGGTACCTTCAGCAGACTCACCCTTACTCTAATCCCTCAATCCTCACAAAGCAGTGGTCTGCAGGTTAACTACAGGCGACAATAACTGCTAAGGCAGCAGGGGCAAGGAAAGGAAGGATGAAGGGAGAGGCAGAGGAGTTGGGAAGAGATGCGAAGCTGAGGACCAGGGGAGCTGCTGGCAGAATCCAGCCTGTGCAGCCACTAAAGAAGAGAGCCCTACCTGCCTCCGCAGCCACATATGCACCGCACACTCATTTCCATCCCATTATTTTTATTTTCTTGCTGAAAACTGCCAGCTTTCCTGTGGTTTTATCACAAGTTTTTCCATCTTTGGTGTTCTGCTTAAAACCCCAGCTCCCAAAGATGCCTAATTAGATTAGAAATTTCAGTAAGTTTCTATGCTTTGTGCTTGCAGAATAAATTTAAATAACAGGACTTGGTGCATCTGGAGAGAGGAATTTTTAAAAAAGGGCAAATTGAAAGAACCCAATTTCAACTATTTTTAATTCCATGAATTTCAACCTGATCTCATTATTCTAAAGCAGGCTTGGATTAATTTCTGAATAACCAAGCAAACATTGCTGTTTGTAGCTTTAGTCCGCAAGTGTATTTTATGAGAAAATGATGTTTCGTGAGCAGCAAAACACCACACAGCAGTTATCATCCCCACCACAGCCACCTGAGCTCCAGCTTCGTGTCTCTCCCTTCCACGGGACCCGCAGTCCCCCTCATGGCTCTCAGCATGTCTGATGGGCACGAGGCAGCGATCCAGAGCCAGGCGCACGCTCACCTGCCAGTCAGCCCGCCCTCGTGTAGCGTCTTGTAAGATAAATCAACTTCTCCTCCATAGGGGCACTCCATCCTCTTTCCAGATACCAATTTTCACAAAACTAATAGGAGCTCATGGTGTGTCTGGAACCTGTGATTTCCTGCCGGTTTTGGCCAATACTGACAATTATGTCAAACTTTCAATGTCCAAGGTCCAGGCACTGACAGGCTGCTCAGTTGAGAATCACTTGGTTCCATTTATAAAACAAACTAGAAAATGAGCATTCACTGGTGCAGGGAAAGCTTTACCTCAAGCCCTTTATCAGCACTACCTCCCACCAGGAGAGCTAGAGAGACACAATAAACACACGCACACACGGATATATATGATTTTCTGTCACTGTGACAGGCATGTCACTGAAAGCAACAACCAGGAGACAAGTCCTAGCTAATGAGCTTTTAAAGCAAAGCTGTTCTGTGATCAGCTGAATGTTATTAAATCCTCCTTTGGCTTTGAAAAATAAACACTGCACCACACAAACAGTGTGACAGAAAAAGATAACATCAAAACTACAGCTGGGTTATTGGGAAGGAGAAAGAGAAAGGGGAAAGCAGAGGGGGGGAAACCCAGAGGAAGGTCTAACAACAACGATAACTTAAAATTAACATTGAGAGTGTTAATCTAACACAGTGTTTCTCATGTCAGCGACCTCTGTGTTGCAGTTCCTTGAAGTTCCATCTGGCCTGTACCAAAAAACCTTTTCAACTCCCAAATTATAAGCCTTGGCTTTGATACGTGAGCTGTATCAGGCCACCTCTGCACAGCAGAATTGCCAACACTTCCAGACAGGGGACTGCTGTCAGGGCTCAGCCAAGGCAAGGTGCTGCATCCCACACAGTACATTTCTATCCTAATCCTCACCTCTAACTTGATTTCCCATGTGGTTGTGCCTTCTAGGCCTACTTTTTCCCTCATCTCCTACTAGTCTGCACTAGTCATCTCCCGTTGTCTCCGAAGCCAAGGCAACAGAAGCGGCTAAGTAGAAGTGATCACTGGCAGCGGATGCCTCGTCCACAGCTTTCCGCTTGCTGGACTCATCTCCTAAATCCAAGGGACGAGAGCCACAGCCTGGAAAGAGAAGCAGAAGTGCTCTGTTGCATTTCAAGGAGAAAGGCAACTCCTCCCTTTTCATGCCAGTGGAAAACGAGAGGAGACGACACAGCATGAAAGCTCTTTTAAATCAGGAACCAGGAGCTACAGGAGGGGTTGCTGAAATACCCTATAAATAGAGGAGGGCTGTGAAGGACATTGTCCAACCCACGGCACGGCTCTGGTACAAACTGATGACTGTTAGAGGAAGAAAGCTGTTTAAAGGAAGGACGTGGAGGTGAGCCTACAGACTTTGCATGGGCATTTCAGGCTACCCCGTTTTGAGATCTTTGCCCAGTTTTCTCTCTAAAACAATAGCAGTTATAATCCAGACAGCCTGCTTTGCAATCTGCTGTATGCGATGTCCTGAACACCACATCCACCATTCTGCTGTGACTCAACTGGAAAGACAGACTTGAGACCTCCGCAGTTTTGGCCCCTGGTTCCAATGAGAAGGGGAGAATCTTTAAAAATAGATCTAAATGAGCAACTTACAGGGCCAGATAATTAAAATGTTCAGTGTTCCACACGATAATGCACATACAACACACCAAAGGGCTTACAAAGTGTACTCAAAACTAGTGAAACCCTCCTGAAAATACTGAATCTGTTGTCAAGCAGCCCTCTGTAGTCAATAATTTCAAACACAAAGACAGTGCTCTGATGTTTGTGCAAGTTCTCAATGTTTAGTAACGCTTAAGCTATTACCAGCAAAGTACCATCTCTCCACTCTTGGGAAGCATCCAGCAGAGCCTCACACATATCTCTTGCCTCTTGCACAGGCTAGACAAACTAAAGTCTTGTTCTCCAGTAGTTTCTCTTGGGGAGCACAGAGTGGGGCTTGGTTTTGCGAGTGGTCTTAATCATAAAAGTAATGTTTTCCCAGCATTGCTGAAACTCCTGTGTCAAATGGTGAAACATTACAGAAAGCTATAAAGCAGCTCTGTCTAGTTCGGCATACGGCAACACGTCAATTTAACAAAAGAAGATGAGACTAGCTCGCCTGAGGGTTGCCTTTTGCATAGCACCTTTCCTTATAATTACCCACCGGGGGCTGACCATGACCATAGGAAACTGCCTCCCACTCTGCAGGCAAACTTGGACAACGGCAATTAACAGAGGTTCCGGAGAAGATGATGACATTGCCCAGCTTTCCAAAATACAAATACATTTCTGTAAAACTTGGAACAAACCAGGTAATTTTGTAAACACTTATTTTTGAAGCACTCTAATCTAAAAAACAGTTACTATCACATCTTTGTAATATAAGGAAGTGTATAAACATTTATAAATCCAGCATCATCCTCTTACAGGGAGGAGGGGGAAGTGGTAAACCCAAAAAGCCCTACCAAACCTACACCAGAATTTTTTAGCCGATTCTTGGGGCAGGGTGACAGGGGACAAGCAACAAAACACGAGACATACTGAGTATAAACCTTCTCTTACAGTCACTGCTCAGCTGCCCAGATTATAGAATTTAGACAGAACAATCATTAAAATCTGAATGAAAAAAAGATAAAGTTGAAGACAGCCCCAAATCAGGAACTTTGGTTTCAAACACGAAGTTAATAAATGCCACCACCAGCTGCTGATCACTTCATCATGAAGAAGACAAGGCAGATGCAGGCAAATCAGCTGAGTACATCATGGAAGTCACTTGCCCAGCTCCTGTACTTAGGGGATTTCATGTCCTGGCACATATGCCATTCCTATCATGACCAACTCTGCTTACTGCTGCTTATTCTTTTCATTGTCTCTTCAAAAATCTCGTTCCTGACCCTTCAAAAAC